AGCGAGAGAGTGGTAAAGAGGCGAAGAGGGAGTGGTAGAGTTGTGTCGGGAGAGAGAGAGTGGTAGGGAGCGGTGCGTTGAGGGAGCGGGCGAGCGAGTATAAACAGTGCGTGTCTGTTTCTCTCTGACAGCAGTGATAAGTGTATTAATACGTCTCTGTTTCGCGTCAACCTGCTTTAATCTCATCTGCGCAGAGACGTTCGCTCGTCTGTCACTGTAACTTCATTAACATCTGACAGAGGACGACCAGAGAGCACACACACACACACACACACACACACACACACACACACACACACACACGCTCACACTGCTCGTTCTCCGGCTGTAACAGGTTCTCCAGCAAGACTTTCAATTCAGATCAGTAACACACTGAACACCACGTACGAAAAATACTAACACCGCACCTGCACACTGACCGCTCCCTCTCTCCCTCTCTCCCTCTCTCGCTCCAGGAGGTGGACTTTGATGTCTGTGTTGATTCAGAGTCTGAGGGTTTTTTACGGGACTCTTTTTAGTGATTTGTTAGTGCTTTAGGCCGCTGATGGTGCCAGTTTCAACATTTAGTTTGGCTCTCTCCGTCTTCACTGGGTCTTACTTTACGGCTTTGGACTCGTTTCATTGCGCTTTCGCCTTTGGATTTTTAAAAACGAGCGAACGGGCTGGACTGGGACCAGTCTGCGGGAGCCATAACTTTATCACAGGCATGTGTGTGTGTGTGGGGGGGGGTTGCCGGGCTGATCAGCGCTGCTGGTGCCGCAAAACAGAAGCTAAAGACAATATAACATGTTTCCTTTTCCTTATTTCACTCGTAAACGGTGACTCGCTTGCTGATTTGCACTGATCCGCACATATAGGAGCTAAACAGGGTCTATAGCGCGCTGGCGGCTGGCGTGGTGACCGCGGTGGTCCCCTCTGACCTCATCCACTCTAGGTTAACGTCATTAGCTGCTTAATTATGGTCTATATGACCAGAACATCATCCAAATAACTGCATACTACAGACTTTGATTGTAACGATTGTAATGTATCGCTGTTGTCAGAAGAAAACCTCCAAAATGGTAACTTTACAGGGGAAGGAAAAAACATACTTTACTTTTGATGTAAGTCAATGGAACCAGACGTTTTTTCAAGTCATTTTGGAACGTTTCTTTTGGTCCATTCTTCGTGAAATTCACACACAATGTAAACGATAACAGGCATTTTCAATTGATGTCAAAAACTGAAAACCGACAAAAAATGGAGGTTTCGTTTCGACAGCAGTGATATGCAAATTTGACATTACAGCCTCAAACACAACATTTTCCATTATTAACCATATTTTGGTTCAGCCTGTTCTGTCCATATTTATCGCTACTTAAAACGAGCTGCTCCGCCCGCTGACTGGATGCCTTATCCACTCGGAAGTACAGCCGACGTTCACGTTTACAAGCGTGCTGATTTGTTCTGTAGTGCTTGGTCTTCGTCAGGAAGTTACAGTCAGTCTGATGCTTTCTGAATAACGTCAGCTTCAACCGAAAATATTAGCATAGTGGATGATTTTCGCGATTAGGTTAAAGGTGGATTATTAGGATGTGATGTTCTTCACATTTTACTAAGAACCCTATTTAACAACTAAAGTATTTTGTTTAATTATATTGTGAAAAACAGTAGAAAGCAGAACAAAAGAACGTATAGAGATACTTACAGTGTGGACGTGTAAGCACTCAGCAGCTTCTCTTCTCAACGCCCAGATTTCTTGAGCAGTTTGTTTCATACCTGCTTCCCAAACACTCATATTTACATCTATGATCTTCAGACACTGCTGGAAATTGGTAAATATTATAATCATTCATGTTCCTGGTAGCAGAGCTTGAGGAGCCGACCAGGTCCTATGAGCACGGTGGCGCCTGACGCAGCTGACCAAGGCAGGATGGGCTAGTTTCTGTGTGGAGTGTCCATGATAGGCTAAAGGCTAACCCCAAGAGACCAGCCATTCCTTCTGTATTACTCTCTAATGTCCCATCCCTTGACAACAAACTGGTCTGTTTATACATCAGCGAGGTGTGCACTTATTTGTGGCATACTGGCATAAAGGTTCAAACTCAGAACTCACACCTGTGGACCAGATCAAGGGGAAAAAGTTCAGCAATACTACAGTCGTCAGTGGAAAATGCCATAAATAAGTATGTGTGAGGGAGAGATCGTAAGTCGGGGGTGCAGAGAAGGGAGTCTGCCAGGTCTGGAAGGTCAGCTCCCTCCAGACCTATTAATATAAATAAATATATATGTATAAATATTTATACATTTATAAATGTGTGGATATACATATATAAATATGCATTCAATTCAGTTTGTGATTGAATTTCCTTAACCCCCCACGTCTGCTCAATTCTATCACCCCGACCCTTCCATCCTTCCACGGATGGAGTGATGAGAGGGGAGAGATGAGCTTTCCGCTCTCATCTGCTCTCCTTTTCCCATCCCCCCCCCAATCCTCAATCCTGCACAAGACGGAGACGGGGTGAGGATAGAGTGGATGGATAAGTGTGTGTGTGTGTGTGTGTGTGTGCGCGTGTGTGTGCGCGTGTGTGTGTGTGTGTGTGTGTGTATCAGAGGAGAAATGTAATCGGACATGTATGCATGTGTGTGTATGCTGTTGGTGAACCGTGACTCCTAGAGCTCAGCCTTCATTTCAGGCCATAAATATCATAAATCAATAACATAAACTCCAACTCCCGCTGGTGCACATGAACGTCTAATGGATGTTCTAGGTTAAGCACAGACAGATGAAGCCTGTAACAGACACCAACATATATTTGAGCTTGTATGTATCAGTGTTACAGTGACTTTTTCAGTAGAGTCCTGCACAGAGTCCTGCATAGAGCTGCCACTGCTGTTTTCCATTCCTAACAACTACCCGAAACACTGCTTAGACTAAGACTCACAATCAGTGACATATCTAGAACCTCCAGAAGGACTAGCATGACATTTTTTTCAAAAATATGACTCTGTCAGTTCCTAATTATGTTGGTACTTAATCTAACGTGTAAGGCCTTCTGTCCAGCTCCTGAAGTCCTAACCAATGGGAGAGCTCGCTTGGCTGTGCCTACCTAGATAGCAAGGAGGAAAAAAATTTGGATCGGTCAACTTTCTGTGGGCCATTTTAACTTTGTTTCCAATCAAAACTTGGTTGAAATACAGTGCTTGCAGAGTTCAGATGTAAAGAACAGAACTATTAATTACATATTTTTAGTTCCCAGAAATCATAAGGCCTTCAGTGTTTTGCTGTTTTGCTGTTTGTGAGTGGCCATGCCTAGAGCAACTGTGCCAATTTTTCTCCCCAGGTTAGTTGCGACCGGTTCCCCCACTAGCTATCTCACAATGCTACCAAGCTGGGAAGGTGAAGGCTACAACATGCTTTCTCCACGAATTGTGAAGATCCACCATACCTTTCCAAACTGCAAGGGAGAGTGAGTGAGGCTAGTTATGCTCTTTACGGATGGCTGTGGCATCACTATTGCTTAGGCAGTTGCGCCACTCGTGAGCCTCTTGACAAAGCTTTCTGCTGATCCCTGACCGCTGACCGCTTCCTTTGCTGCTGGTGGTGCAAAATAGTCTTTCTTCCTATGGGGTGTAGAGTGGCATGGCACTTATAGATGCCCGTCTTAAGTGCTTGAATTAAAAATAGCTCTAAAAATCCTTTACATTTTATATGATGTTGAATTGTTTTGTGTGTGTGTGCTCTTAGTTAATCCAAGCGTTTTTGTAATAATTCCTTAATGTTCTACTGTATTGAACTGAATCCTGGAATTACTGTACATCACTTCTTCATTCTCCGACTCTTAAATCTTATTAACAGTCTTTTTTCCCCGCTGTAAGCTCTGACAATGGATCCATACATTACTGTATTTTCTATTTAACGCACAATAGCACGAAGGTCCTTCTGTTCCGATCGAGCGCTCGCTGCATATACTGTACGGGTGAGAGATTTAAAACAATGGATTTACGGTGCTTAATTAAGGATTCATTAAAGAGTTTATCCATAAAGGATTCACATTTCGAGACAAAGCAGGAGCGAATTCTGTGCATTAATTAAAATGATTAAAACAGTGAATTCTGGTATTGTAATTTATGAATGGCTACAATCTTCTAACGCTGGTGGGATTAGTGCTGTACAGAACAGACGAGAATAAGACGATGTACAGATCAGCCACAACATTAAAACCACTTCCTTGTATCGACACCCGTTGTCCATTTGACCATATAGTTTCACTTTGTAGTTCTACAGTTACAGACTGTAGTCCATCTGTTTCTCTGCATACTTTGCTACCCTGTTCTTCACTGGTCAAGACCCCCACAGGACCCTTACAGAGCAGGTACTATTTGGGTGGTGGGTCATTCTCATCAGTGACACTCTCTCCAATCTATTTGACACTCCTACCTTGTCGGTCCACCTTGTAGATGTAAAGTCAGAGACGATAGCTCATCTGCTGCTGCACAGTCTGTGTCGGTCGTCCTCTAGTCCTTCATCAGTGGTCACAGGACGCTGCCCACAGGACGCTGTTGGCTGGATATTTTTGGTTGGTGGACTATTCTCAGTCCAGCAGTGACACTGAGGTGTTTAAAAACTCCAGCAGCACTGCTGTGTCTGATCCACTCAGACCAGCACAACACACACTAACACACCACCACCACTTCAGTGTTACTGCAGTGCTGAGAATGATCCACCACCCAAATAGTACCTGCTCTGTGAGGGTCCATGGGGGTCCTGACCACTGAAGAACAGGGTGACAAGGTCTGTAAGTGTAGAACTACAAGGTGCTCCTCTGTGGTCAGTGGAGCTGATAATAAGTGTGTAAGTGTGATGTGATTAAGGTAAAAAGCATTATGAGGTCAGAATAAGTGGTGTGTTGGTGTGTTTTGGTGCGTGTTGGTGTGTATTGGTGCGTGATGGTGCGTGTTGGTGTGTGCTGTCAGTCTCTGATGTGTTTCTGATGTTGTGTGTTTCTCTCCTGCAGCTGTGGAGGACAGAGTGAGCTCAGCAGCCTGGGGCAACGGCACACGTATTACAAAGGTAGGAAGCTGTCTGTCTGTCTGTCTGTCTATCTCTTTGTTTGTCTTTCTTTCAGTTAATTTATCTGTCCATTTGCCTGTCTGTCTTATTGTATGACTCTGTGTGTGTATATATATATATATGTATATAGGTCTATATGAAAAATGATTGATTTGTTTATTTAATTATTTATGCTGGAAGATTTCTCTTGTGACTGATGTCTGTTTGTGTTTATAATAAATCAGAAAGTGTTTGTCCTGGTTCTTGTTCTCTTTTACGATCTAAACAGCTTTGTTTTTTAGTCTCATGACCTGCAGTGGTTTGGTGGGACAGGCAGGATATGAGCTCTGCCGTCGTTGCCGTTGTTACTCGTGTCTGAATCTTTCTGCGTTCATATCTGAAACCCTTTTATTTTTATTTTTGTGTCTCAGCTCGGCTGCTCTGTGTTGATTCGCTTGTCTGCCGAGGTCAGAGGTCATTGCTGATAGGGTCGCGTAAGGTAACAGCGCGTCTGCCGTCAGCAGAAATTAGAGATATGAGGTGAAGGACATGCTGACCCAAGCACTTTCCATGCCCGTCTCAGCCGGGCGAGGTGGGCATCTCGGATGCAAATGGAGTCTTGCGACACTGATGAGCGCCAGGGGACGAACTCATTACCCTCTACTTCACTTCCAGCTTCAGCGTCAGACTGTTAGTCACGTTTTTGTTATTGTTTGTTTCAACATTGGGTACTTCTGTACCATCGGTCAGCCTGGTCAAGAGAGTCATACCTTTATATTGTCAGTTCTAGCTTGGTGATAATCAGCCAGTGAAATATGTATCTATCCTGTGATTCAGCGCTAACTTCGTACAACATTTATTGAGCACAAATATTCAATAGAACAGTTCAGAAAAGAGAAAAGACGTAAGAAAGACTTTCGGAAGTCCAGATTATTGGTCAGATGCGGTGTAGATTGAAATCGGACCTGCTGGGATTACACACTGAACTTCCACACGCAGTAAGGCCTAGTTACACGTGCTTTTGCCGCTACATTTTCTTTAGCTAAATTACATTCATTTCAATGGCATTTGCTACAGTGAGCAATTTAGCATTTCAGACTTCCACGGCAAATATATTTTGTGTGTGAAATTTTGCACCGGGTTCAATTTCAAATTTACGTCCTCAACCAATAACGTGACTGCTTTGACTGTGAGGGGGCGGGGCTTCATGTAGCAGCTATATAGCAGCAATTAGCGGAGAAATGCTAATTCACACAATGTCTAAACACAAACCATTAAACATTTCTTCCACGCGGAGTGGCTTTACTGTTAGCCTTCTTGCTAACTGTGATGTTAGCTCCTAGATCACTTGCTATAGATCACTGTGCCAGCTTGCTAACTGCTATGTTTGCTTCTTAGCTATCCACAGCTGCACATATCACTCTACTGCTGCCAGCCCCAGCAGTTATCTACATTTTTTTATATGACTATCAGCTATCTGATATAATTATATTCATATGTCCATATATTTTATGGTTAGTGAGTGAGCTAGCTTACTAACTGCACCAACACAATGTTTTTTTTTTTTCATGGCCAATTTTTCGGACAAACCTTATATTTGATAAAGGTTAGACACACACACACACACAGCCCCCTTTTACCCTGTTCAGGACCCCCATGGCCCCTTACAGAGCAGGTACTATTTGGGTGGTGGGTCATTCTCAGCACTGCAGTGACACTGACATGGTGGTGGTGTGTTAGTGTGTGTTGTGCTGGTCTGAGTGGATCAGACACAGCGGTGCTGCTGGAGTTTCACCAAAAATACAGTCCAAACATAACTGGCTGATGTATCAAATGGCCAGTATTGATGATTCGGCTTTTTATAGATATATATCACCAATATTGTGGTGATAATTACCGACTTTCTTTGGTGGCAGCACTGCTGGGATTCATAGTTGCAATCCACCCACAATCAGGTGAAATCTTAGACCAGAGGAGCTTGAATCCAGGATCCAGTCCAGGATTTTGCAATTGCTATTAGTGAAGTGAACTGCTGATATAACTGATTGGCCATTGGCTGTGCCGCTGTTTTCAACAGGCAGTACGGTTAGAAATCTGAACGCAGATCTGGTAAAACACCTGTAACCATTTTCTATCGGATTACAGAGACATGAACGTTGGCGGAGTTTTCCTGGACTTACGCGGTCACATGGATTTCTCATGCAAAGTGAACACAACACTTGCAGCTGACGTTTTTTTGCCCTATCAATGTTGTGTTTATGCTTATGAACACATATTTTTGCTTATATTTATATGGTTGACCTTCTGCTTCAGCCTGGAGTCTGAAGTGCTGACGTCTCAAACAGTTGGAAAGTTACTCAAGTTTAGACATGACGTCTTAAAGGGTTGGAAAGAAACGCCAAATCCACCCCAAAACAGCAACAGCCTCCATTTTTATGTGGCATTTCTCATTATTTCATCATGTATTTCTTTCACTTTGTGACATGGATCTGCCAGACGTTTGCTTGGCGAACTGGCACCGGCTGCGAGAACATCCTCAAACTTCTCGAACAATCCAATTTGCACCATATCAAACACGGCTGCCTGGGCATTAGGCGAAAAAATTCTCCAACGTCCTCTCGTGAAGTGTTCCGTCTCCGCTAACACCTCACTGCCAAGTAGCTGTCTGTATCCGAAAGTGTCCGTCACAGGCGACATTTAAGAAAAAGAAAAAAAGGCGAACACAGGCCTGATTGTCTTGGCTGCTTTTTAAATAAGGAATGCTGTGAGATTATAATTGGGGTATCTGCTCTATGTGCCAGAGCGCTAGCGTCGACATAAGGCCGCCCGATCCTCCGCTAGAACAAAAGCAGATAGGCGCACTCGCACCTCGCTCTAGTGGGCAACACTGTTGAGGTCATGGAATGTGTTTGTTGACCACTTAATGCTCTGTAGGTGGTTATTTGTTTGGGAATCCTCTAGGATCCATCGTTGGAAAGAATGTGTTTATCTGTATTTCTGTTATTACAGTCATATGTACACAAGCTTTTGCTGAGCCCAAAATTTGGACTTTCGGCAACTTTCTTGGCTGACCATGCCCTGAAGGCCCCACTTTGGGCAGCCCTGCGCTGGAACATCTAGAGATACTCTTGGACACTGCGCATTTAAAAACAAACAGGAGCGTATGGTTCTTGTTTTAGTTTCATTTCCCGCCTGGTTGAGAAACTCCTGGAGCTGTGAATACAATGAATGCAACAGACTGACATCAATGTGGGGGTTAACCTCCTTTCAGTTATGAAATCCAATCAAAAATGGTCACTGGAGACTCGTGGAAATGCTGTATGTAAATCAGCTCACTGGAGACGAATGTTAATACCAGGTATAAACAGAACCTACTGCATTCAGCTTAGCAGTTCAGTTGCGTTAATAGATATTTATAGTTGCGTTAATAGATATTTATAATGGCGTAACGTCCAAGTACGCAGGATATACGCTTGCCAGGGGGCCTGTGCTTTGCAGGAGCCGTGATTTGCCTTGGCAAATGTTATTACTACAGAATAGCTTGTTTCTTCAGCACAGTTCTTTGAGGAAAGTCATGCTTTTATTTTGGTGATCATGTTATTTTCCACTGACCTCTTATCTGTCAATTTATATGACCCTCCCCTACACCACATTAGTCCAACCCCTTCATCTGTTCAGCTAAGAAAACATGGCGTTATCCAGTTAGCTAACTGCACCACAGGTTCCAGTACTGTTTGTAGTACAGTAACAACAATCAACATCGGAAGCACTTTTCAAAATGGAATTATTACATGTAAAATTGAAAAAGTTGGACACAGAATTGGCGTAACTCCTGGACAGGTATGTAGGTGCAGTAGGTCAAGGTAGAAAGTGTTGAACTTTTTGAATGACTGCCTTTACATAACATATTAAGTAGATAAATGTTTACCACTCAGAGCGCTGGGATGCATTAATGCTTTGGATGAACCGCCGTGCAAGTAACAAAGCTAAGTAGACGAGGCTAAAGCTTTTATCCGGACTTCCTGTTCCACCTTAAATGCTGCTATGTGATCATATTTGTCTGGTAGCGACGGTTCGCTTGAAAAACTTGTGGGAGCTCCCTACAAAGAAAAACTGGACAGCAAAAAACGTTTCTTGACTGTTCTCGCAGCAGAACCGAATGCCAAGCGTTTCTAGGCCTATAACTCTCCAGTCTCCCCGGACACGAGGGACACGGGAGTTTGATACCTGCTCCGGCCACACATCGCTGCTGTAAAAGGAGGTATTTGGAGACTACTCGGATAGCATGGTTGGACAAAAATTATAGGGGTGTGTTTTGTTTTGACAGATGAAAATAGAAGGCGTTGTGGTGTTGTAGTTCCCTCATTTAACCTCTAGAAGTTGAGTATCTTCAATTATGACTTGTGCACTTTTAGCCAAAAGTCTTTCATTAATAGTTTCATATATTCATAAACTATATGGAAAAGTATGTGGACACTCCTCTTAATTGTTGAGTTCAGGTGTGTCAGCCAAACCCATTACTAACAGCTGGGTAAAATCAAGCACATAGCCTTGCAGTCTCAATGAACAAACACTGGCAGTAGAATGAGTCGTACTGAAGAGCTCAGTGGCTTTAAGCATGGCATTGTCATAGGATGGCGCCTCTGCCACATGTTTCTGCCCCGCTAGATCTGCCCTAGACAACAGTAAGTGCTATTATTGTGATACAGAAGCATCTGGCTTTTTTCTTGGGTCTTGGAGGATTTGTCTTTGCGATTGTTGTCCTGGATTAAGGAGGCCTTGTACAAAGGTTTTGAATACAGGCCTGGGAATTTGTTACACCACTGGATATTTAGCTGAATGTTAGTTAAAGACGAAGTGACCGTCTACGAAGCATCTACAGTGGACAATCGCTTGTCAAGAGGACTCAGTAGATTGGTTTATGTTCTAAACTTTCTAAACAGCCTGTTTTATTTGATTTATTATGCCCTAAACCACTGATTGGTTGGACAGGCTGAACGTTGACCCTGCTGTCTGTTTTCATGCTCATTGAGTGGTGGGCTCATTTTAGTGGTACCTTTAGAGGTCATTGGCTTGGATAATTGTTTGGGCTTCTCAGATATAGAAAATGTGCTAAACAAGAAATAACACTGGGGTACATTAGGCCTAATTTGGATACACCCACCCACTGCTGACCTTGCCTCTGACTTCTGATCTTTGCAGAGTTACGTGGACGGATCTCAGTATCACATGACCAGCCGGGACCTCGGCTCACACGACAACATCTCTCCGCCCTACGTCAACTCCAGACTGGCAGGTAAGCACAGGGCGGCTTTATTATTGTTTACACAGGCTGTGTGGTGATGATGTGATGAAGTGCTGTGCAGAGGGACCACCTTTTATTTCATTTGCAGTCAGTTGGGACGGTGGGATCTTTTTCCACACCTCCAAAGTTCAGTCTTAGAAGCTGGTTGATCATTTTCTGAAGTAATCAAACACATTCAGTGGTGTTGAGGTCTGGACTCTGGGGTGGTCAGTCCATCGTTCAGCTTCTTTGTTTGATGTGTCCGTCTCCTTTTCTCAGTGAGGTTCTTCTTGATCAGCTACACATCCTTTCAGACCCACAGCGCTGAGTCGTCTTCTCACAGTGGAAGGATGGACAGAAACACCTGTGGATGTTTTCAGATCTGAAGCAGCTTGATTTTCACTTGACTGGAAATTAAAGGGGAACTCCACCAGTTGTTCAGAAGTCTACATAATTAAATTGTTATAATTTAGATGAAACAGAGTCATTCAGAGTGGTTTTGCTCCTTTCTGGAGTCAGAACTGTTCACAGTGGTGGTGATAGGAACCAGACATCCACCTCTAAAAGCTCCCTCACAGAAAGTTACTACAGGAAATGGTTATGAATTCACTGCCTGATGACTGAGACACTGTTTTATGATAGTTTTGAGAAGATTTTAACCTTAAACTCCATTCATGGTGGAGGGATACATGCAGGGCGCTGTGAGGCAAAATAGTCCCCAAAGAAAACTTATTATTTCAGATTTTCCACTATTTTCCATCATCAACATTCCATATAAACTCAGAAGACTCGTGTAGGTTCACTGGTGGTTCTGGATAGTAAATAAAATGTCTATATCTGTGTTGTAGTCATGGCGACCCCTGGTTCCTATCACCACCACTGTAAAGACATCTGATCCATTTCATACCAAACCACTCTAAATCCCTCTGTTTACATCTCAGGTTTAAATAAATAAGGCGTGGTCTCTGCTTTTGCACAGTGCTGCAATACTGATCTCGCACAAGGCTGCAATGTGCATTTTCTTTCCTCTGTGCTGTGAGAATCCTGACCAATCACAGCTCTAGATGAGTGTCTATGGGTGTTTTAATGAATCAAGGGGGTTCTGTGATCCAACAAAAGGAATTTCGATCAAATAAGCAGTTTGGCTTTGGTCCTCAGTAATATAAACCATGTTACATTATTGTTTTACTCCTTTACTTATTCATTTTTGGATTTATTTATTTATTTCTTTGTTTACATCCATGTGATGGGATGGAGGGTGATCCTACCTCCCTCAGACAGAATGTTTAAGCTCTCTTGGACCCCCAGCTGATAGGGCCACACCTTTGTACCGTACTGTGCAAATGTCTTAAGCACATTATTTAAAACTGAATATCTTGGCCAAACAAGTGTTTGTGTTTGTACAAACACTACATACCATTTGAATAAATGTAAATACTCTTACAGACATGCAACATATATTTTATATGTGAAGAACGTAAAAAAAAACACGTTTACAAGTAATTTATGGCACGCCGTTTTAGCTTTTAATCCTTTTTTTCTTGATACATGTGAAAATTAAATTCTCACTAGTAAAAGCTGAATTTTCTAGTGAAAATTACATTTTTGATATCAAGAATTTAATTCTTCCTACTAAAAATTACATTTTTACATGTAAAATAAAAGTTATTGCTAGTCAAAATAAAAGTTTCACAAGTAAAAATTCGTAGTTTATATTTTTACTAGTAAAAATTTTATTCTTGATATTCTTGATATGTGAAAATTAGATTTTCACTAGTGGAAATTTCATTCTAACTAGTAAAAATTCTTCCCCCATTAAACTGATTAGGGAAATTCATGAATTATCACTATTAAAAATTAAATTTTGCGTAGTAAGAATAAAATTTTCACTAGTGGAAATGAAATTTTCACATGTATTAATTGAATTCCTGGTATCAAGAAAAAAGGGATTAAAAGTTAAAACGGCTTGCCGTAGTTTTCTTCACATGACCATGTTTTCTCACGTGACCACATTTTTTTCATGTGAGCACATTTTTTCACGTGTGATAACGCTTTTTAGCGTGTGCAAAAAACATACTTTTTTCCAAGTGAACTTTGCGTGACGTTCAGGCATAAATGCATTAAAACAAGAATAAAAATGTTCTCAGAAAAGTAAAAGTAGTATCTTGTGAGCTAGTTTGAAGAACAGAGTTGAGTTCTTTGAGGTTTGGAAATAGTTCAGTGAACACATTTACACTCATAAAATCAACACTCACTGTATTAATGTTGCTATTAATTATAGTATTGCTGTTTCTCTGAGCAAATACATGCAGACTGTCCTGATAAACGGCTGATTTTCTTCGGTGCCTGAAAGTTTTGCCCTTTCATTTTAGTGTAGTGTGTGTACTTGTACTTGTTTTTCTATATCATGCAGCCCCTGATTGTGGTACACCTGTAATATCTGGATTTGTGCTTGAGGAAACGAGTTACTGCCTTTTTTTGTCCTTTTTCGGCTGCGTTAGCTTTGTGCTAA